TTATCCCTCCCATACTCTCTTAGCACCTTGACAATCCTTTATGATATTTACATAGATATTACATTTGACAATCTGGTTCTTTTTTGGGATTCTAAAATCTGTTCCAATTGAGACTGTTTGGAACGTGACGAAAAAATGTTAGGTGTGATTAATAAGGGTTTTTTCACAGTTGAAATTGATTTTTCTTTGTCAAATATGGCAAAGACAAAGATAAACTGAGCAAATATAATATATAAATATATATAAAAAAGTGGACTGCTTTTTAATGTGGCATCAACTAGGACAGAGTCGATCTCTTTTCCCTTTCTCTCTGTCTCTCTCTTTATTTTGCGGTCGGCTCAACGAACTTGTTGTTGTTGTTGTTGTTGTTGTGTACTTATCGGTTGTTGGTTGTTGTTTGGTCGGTTTTACGATACTTTTACTCTTTCAATTTTACAACTGGGCGAGGATATTGACATGTTTAGATGTCGTTACCTATTTACCTTCGGATCGTAAATCATAAAGCGTGTGCGGTGTGCGGTGTGCGTAGYTATTAGCGATTGGCTATCTGACATAAACGAGCGACCACAACAACAGGAACAACAGCAACAACATGCAACGGCAACGGCAGCAGGAACAGCTACAAATGTATCTTGCAGATACATAGATACATGCTCTACATATAAGCGTAGACAAGGGCTGACTGCCCCTTTTTGGTATCTTTATAGATTTACAATGCCCAATTTTCGTCTACTTGGGAGAAGTTGAAAGATATATGACAGCCGTTGAGCGCATATTCGATGAGTTGCCAATGATTACGACGTGCGCCATAAATATTTCATAAATATTGCTCTGATTTTCGTTGCGACAATTTGTTATTGATCAATAATATACGAGTGCCAAAGGTAGCCAACACCGTTAGCTGCAATAGACAGGTACACTGTGAAAAAAGTCGAATCGATGTTTAGGACTTCATTCGAAATCTCTCCAAGTGGAGTTTAAATTAAAAAAGAAACTGTTCACATCAATTTTTTTTTTTTTTTTTAATAATTATAATTGTAAACAAAGCGTAAAAATATACAAAACTTGAAATACATTTTTAATAAAAAACACAATATTAATAATGAAGAAAATTAATTTTGAGTTGAAATAATAAAAAATACAAACAAACCGAAAAAAATAAATAAATTAAATAAATGCATATGAAAAATATATTTTTATAATTTATGTATGCCTAAAACTTATTAATTTTATTTTATTTTTTTAATTTATATTAAATTTGCATCATTATTCTATAACTGTCTGTATGTCTATTACACCTTCATTACCAAATTATGATAAAATTCCCAACAGTCCAAAATTATTTTCATACTTCTGCTATCTAATAGGTAGTTTTTTTTCTCAGTGTGCGTGCATTGCCCGTGCCAGGCCAAAGGGTTGTTCAGCTCGAGTCGCCTGTGCGAATGCCCTACAAGCGCGACACGTGTTAATCTTTTTATTATTATTTTTTATTTAGTCAGCTTCGATTGCTAAACCACTTCAGATTATAAAGCAGGCAGTCATCGTGATTGCTTAGGGCGTTTTCAAATTCCTCGAACTCGAATCAGTCGTATACCCTGAATATCTTGAAAGAGTAGCTGCTCTGGTGTATCACTCAAGCCGGTTTCGGAATTTAAACTGTTTTTACATGCGTAAATTTTCGAGATAGTCGAAGCCCAATCGCTTCACTGATTAGAGAGCTCGATTTATATATATATATATATACACACACATATAGAGTCGATAGGATATTTCGATTGCTTTTAATTGATTCGAATCGCTGTTCAATTGTTTGGTGTGATTGAAAATGGCTTAAGAATTTATTGTCGAGTTTATATCGCCTCAACTCCGATGCCATAAACCCAGTTAATCTATATACACATAAATTATATGTATGTAGCTTTTTTAGGGGCACAAATTCCGAAATTCGAAATTCGTGCACCTCTCTGGCACTGATATCATTTCGCAAATATGCGCAGCTGTCTTCGCTCTGATAGATCAGTTGCCCATGTGAATGAATCAGTGCGTTAGGTTCTCTGATTAGACCATTTGATCTCTGATCTCGCTCGTGTTCGACTCATCGTCTGCCCTCTCTGTTGGGGTGGGCGACAGTTTTAATTTATTTTAATTCGTGACTCACTTTGCGCTACGGTAAACGTAACCCCGCACCCGAAAGACTTCTATGTTTTCTATGCGTTAATTGTATGAGGCGAAAAAAAGCGGTTGATCCATTCCCCACAAGCGACAATCTTAATTGATGTCTTTACTTAATAGGAAATCGAGACGGAAATTACTTAACTGACCTTTAGTCTGGCCAGGTTATGCCAGGAATTAACGACAATTTAAGTGCTCAAATAAGCGACTCATTATACAGATCTTGAGAGATCTTGAGATGAGCTTGAACTATTTCATGCACACTGGGACTACAAAGTGAGACTTATACATAAGCCTTTAACATCTATCTAATCTATTTAATATCTAAAAAATACTATTCTATATATGAAATGAAAAAAAAAAACAAATTCTCATTTCATTCCGCTTGCGAGCAATTATAAAAATTGATTTCCCAAATTTTCAAGTCCGAAATTGTAACGAATTTAATTACATTTTCTCTGCAGCCGGTTGAGATTTTTTTATGATACTTGTTTAAGCCCGGCAACGATGGAAAATGGGCGGGCGGCTGGTCTGTGGGCGGAGGAAATCCTTGCGATGATTGTGAATTGGCGACAACACAGCACAGCGCTCCGCCTGGCCAATCAGTCAGAGCGCAAGACACTCGGGAAATTGTGGAAATGGTGAAAAGCTGACGCTCGCCAATATTTTACAAAAAAAAATATATCTTAACAAACAAAGCGAAATTCATTTTCCCAAGCAAAGGAAATAAAAAACAGATGAGAGAAAAAGCCAACAACAGGAAAAGCAAACGCATAGAGAATGTGAAAATGGTGAAGAGAAAATGCGGAAAGCGGAGCAAAAAACGTGGCGCGCCAAACGGAATTGAAAATTCTGCACAGCAATACATGTGTGTGTGTCCATGAGTGTGTTTGTACGTGTGCGTGTGTTTGTGTTTGGGCATATCCATGTCTGCGCCGGGCTCAAGCTGTGGAGCTAAAAACATATCCGCTGGATACATGTAATACCGGTAAATGAAATCCGCTTGTCGCTGCCTGTGTGTGCTGCGTGTGTGTGTGTGCTGTGTGTGTTTGTGTGTTTGTGTGTGTGCGCAGCATGGCTGGCAACACTCATTCATTCATTCATTCAATGCTCATATTCGAAAATTCAACTGCGATGGCGACGACAACTGCCACATACACACACACACACATATCACATACACATATGCATGTACACATGCCTGTTGTCTGTATCTATGAGTTTTGTCCGGTTTGGCTTGTCTGTGCGAATTCGTTTCCGTATCTGTGGTTCGCTATGGATTTTTCAATCCCCGATATCCATTTGTCCGTCATGTCCACACGGAAGATTTGCACATTAAGCGCCACACACACACACACGCAGAGAGAGAGAGCACACATATACAAACGGAATAATGAATATTCTGCGCCCCCCTTTTCGCTACGCCCTCCCCCGCTTGTACAATTTTTTCAATTAATCTGACATTGTTCTGGGCCACGTTGGCGGCTTTTTGGCCATTGTCAGAAATGCAATATTTTAAAATCTCACATTATTCAAATAATTTTTACAAAAATTTACTGCAATCGAGTGTGTGTGTGAGAGAGAGAGAGAAGGAGAGAGAAAGATCTGTGGCAATATTTTTAATTAACTTGGGAATATGAAATGTGGCATTTGGGAAAAGCTTTCGGTTGGGCGCATCAGATGCATTGCCAAAGGACTGGGTTGAAGCTCAGCATAAATATGGAGACGGGTCTTAAAACGAACTATGTATATAGACAAATATAATATATATACATATAATATCGACTAAAAAAATATTTATAAAATATGAATCCTCTTACAATTCGAGAGATTCATTAATCAAGAACAAGTTTATCTAAAAAGATTAAGTTTAAGTAAAAAATATGATATCTATGATATCTCTATCCATAATTTCCATAAAAGAAAATTGCTAACAATATTTAAACAAATTAATTTGTTTAAAAAATGTAAGTTCCAAACAATACAAGCACATTATTTCTTTAATAATAAAGAAATATATATTTTGATATATTTGGATATATGAGTAATTTGAATTCATAAGTATACAAAATCTATTCAGGAACTACAATCTTAGCAGCTCTTAATAACACTTCGAACAGATAAAAATGCATAAAATTCATTTTATGATTGTGAGTTGATTTGCACTAAAGTTTTCTTTTGTTTGCATTTTCTTTTTTTTTTGTCAATTGAAATACAATAACAAAATACAAAAAAAAAAAAAAAAAAAAAAAAAAAAAAAATTAATGCTGTAGCAGAATAAATTTTCAGTCACAAAAACTAAAAATATAAATGATTGTGATTTGAAATTTAAAATTGTTTTACTTATACCATGTTACACACGATATTTAACTTTTGTTATATACACATACGTTTTTTTTTTTTTTTTTTTTTTTTATTTTAAAAATAAAATGAAACAAATAAATGTTAGCCATATAAGTATGCCCTTGGAATTTACGCTCACTTGCATATGTATGTATGTGTGATTGTAAAAAACTAAGTATGTTTTTGAATTTTTGAATTTTGTTGGTAACATTTTTGGCATATTAATAATAATAATAATAAAAACATACAACTGTATTACTATTTACATTTCACTATACAAGTCACTGTTTCAAAAGACTTTCTTTTCCAAGAAGTGTTTGATGGGGAAGTGTTAAAAGTTAAAGGGAAAACTTTTCTTGAAAACAAAACTCTCTCTAAACATTATTTCACTGATTTTCACACACACGCATTTATAAGATCTGCACACATACACATACCCAAAGTTCTGTATTATAAAAGCTCTTGGTTTGGATCTCTTGACTTACCGTCGGTGTTTCGCTTCTTGGGCAGCACCGCCTTGAAGGCGGACATCGGCGCGTAGTCATGTGGCGAAGTAGCCGCCGGAGGCAACTGCTGCTGCTGCTGTTGTTGGTGTGGCTGCTGTTGGTGTTGCTGCTGGTGTTGGTGCTGGTGCTGGTGATGGTGCTGCTGCTGATGTGCATCGACAGTGATTTGGGCTGGTTGCATGCGCTGGTGCAGCAGCTGCGTGGGCGAGGGAATGGCGGCCATTGTGGTCAAGGTGCTGAGATCGCGCACCTGCAGCGAAGCACTCGAGGTGGCTGTGGGGGGCGACGCGGATGCTGAGGGGCTGGCGGCGAACGGGCCGCCGGGAAAGTCAGCGGCAATGGCGGGCTTGAAGTTGCCCAGGCTGTAGTCGATGGGCAGGTGATGCTGCTGTGTAGGGGGCGGGGCGGCAGAGGCAGCCGAATGCAGCAGATGCTGATGCGGGCCTGCAGGCGCTTGCATCTTGCCAACGTTCATGGATTGAGTTTCTTTATGTTCTCAAAATTATATATACCTTTTCGATTTTGTTTTATGTAAGTGTTGGTAAACGTTTACAGGTTTTGGAAAGACACACGCGACGGCATGGGCAACGGAAACGGATGCGGATGCGGATTTACACGCGCGTTTTGGCAATGGCAATGGCAACGGCTGCGAAACAGATTTCTATTGGGTTTTAATCAGACGGCACGCGCGCCAAGCAAGCAGCTGCTGGGCTGTTGTATAACTGTTTTGTTCGGCGTCATCGAGCGGACTAAACCCGTAAAAGTTAATCACGGCCGGTCGCTGGGCGCTGAGTTGGAAGCCATGGAACGCGGCTGGTAGACGCCGGCGCCAGCTGAGGCTGAAGCTGAGAGTGAATCTGGCGGCTGACAGCGACAGCGACAGCGACGGCGGCTGCGGCAGCAACAGCAGCGAGTGGCTGGCTATGCACTTGACACGCCACGCTTAGGGTGTGGACCAGGTGCGGGGGTGGCTGCGCGGCTGGTTGGTTGCCAGCTTATCGCAACACGCAAATTCGCCGACTATTCCAATTGTTGCAATTCCGATTTCCCAGCCAAGATTGGAAGAAATCAAGTTGTGCGTCGACTGAGACTGCGACAGCGACGGTGACTGCGAACAGGCAACAGCGCAGTTGGCGCCAGCGAGAGGCTGTGAGAGCGCAACTAGAACAAATACTCGTACTCGCACTCGCACTCGTTGACTTGCTTTGCGGTTACAGTTATTCGGCAAGCGTGAAGTGAGCGAGCGACCACACTGAAACGAACCGTCCGTGCGCCACAAAGCACAGCTACTGACGAAAGCAGAAGCAACGACAGCGAGCTCTTTGCGCTCTCTGCTTTGGTGAGCGTGTGAGCATTGCGACACCCACCACCAGTGCCACCCAAGTGACTTGTGCGAGCGAGACGCCTAGCTGTTGCGTGCATTCCAGTTGGAATCACAGCTGGAAGGAAGTTTGTGTAGCCCACCACCATTGCTGCATAGGCGCGCTCTCTCGCACACACACGCGCTCTCGACACTCAGCTGCTAGCTGGCCTCGTCTCGCACACTGAGCAGCCTGTTGATTATTGGGCTACGCCCAGTTTCCAAGCCGTCACGCTTAATCTGGATTTGGTATTGCCTTGGTGCTTGTTGTTGGTATTTTTAGTGCGCATACCGCTTTGATTCGTTCAAATCAATGCGCCACTCACAGGCCAAGGGTGTGAGACGGCAGGACGGGATGGGCCAGTGTTTGAGTCGCCTTTGGTTGTGCGAACGGGCTGCTCCTCCACGGGGCCAGAAAGCCTTGTAATCGCCGTTGTCTTTAGCCCCTGCAATGCGCAGTGCGTTCCATTTTCTAATTTGAAGTGCTTTCCGGCACCTCACTCAAGTGCTTCGCTCACAATTGACTTGAACCCCCCGCCACCCCACCAATCACCCCATTAGCTTCGTGACTTTGACTTGGCAATCCCTTACGGCGGCACAGTGACATCCACTTCCACATTCACATCCATATCCACTTCCAATTCAATCGTTGTTGCCACCAAATCGATCAGAAGTGCTTTGAATTGTTAAAAGGCGAATCGAGCCAATGGCAGCTGCCCATCAATGAAAGAGAAGAAAAATGCCAATTTTTTTTTTGAAAGCATTCGAGCAATATGTTAAGTGTTTATAATATCTTAACATATTGCTTTGCTCAAAATAAATATTATCACCAATGAATAATCGAAATCAAAAAGAAGTCTATTCCAATAATGTACCAATCGGAACGTACTTGCCATAGGGGCTACTAAGCATTTCTTTGACTCTCAAAAATTATTTCTAATTGCGAGCGGTGCATGTTTGCTATGGGCTATACTCCCTTATAAAGATTATGTAAAAGGGAGAGCTAGGGAGACTGTATGTTGGAGAGCGAGAGGGAGCTAGAGACTGTAATAGATCATTTAGTTATTTCCTCTATAATAATAATAATAAATATCACTCACTCTCTTGCTCACTTGATATCATTCCATAATACCTTATCGAGGTTCTAATCGTTTACTCGCGGTAACTGAGGCTGCTCCTAGATTGTGATATCCTTGATGGAATTTTGATCAGTGAATACTATTATCGTAATATCCAAATATTATAGAAGCCTTTAATTTCCTTTTTTAAGACGACAAAAATTGAAATTATTACATTTAGAAAATAATAAATTTCGTAAGTTCTTCTTGAAATTGCATAGCACGTACCTTTTGTATATCATTAATTTAGGTTATTATTATATTATTATAATGATATGTTGCAAGCAGTTCGAAAGATATTGTTACAAGCTTATATAATAAATAAATTCTATTCATATATTGCATGATTTTCTCTCATAAATTTTTCGGTATTTGGTTTAGAATCTATATATAAAATTTGATAAGTGAGTGAGTTTCTATATCAATATGTAATTCGTGAGCAAAACGAAAAAGAAACTCTTATCGGATTGTGAACGAATAATATATGGAAAACTATTTGTAAAATGCAAAGAAAGAGTATTAATTAGTTAATAAGATCCGCCTGCGATTTACCCTGAATTGTGATTTCCTATGCAAAGTGCAGCGGACGAAACTAAATGGAAATGCGCTTGTCTCTTGCATGTCAGCCAGATTTGTGGCTGTCTAATTGAGTCTTCAGCGAGTGGGGCTGGTCGCCGTCGACTCGGCTGAGGCAGCGAAGATGCTAAATTTAGTGTGTAATTCTCTTCTGGCAATCGTTGCCATGTGTTGCAGATGGCGCCCGATGCCAGTTGACACAAATACATGTATGTAAGATGGGGATCTCTGGGAGCTCAGCTCGGCCTGGCTCAGCAGAAATCTGTGACGAAAAGCTTGGCGGGAACGGGAGCTCATAACACTTATTTATGTGACCGTTGAAATGGGAGCATTAGCTGCCTGTGTTTGTAAATATTTGTCATAATTTGGTGGAGGGGAGCGAACACATGCTCCATATAGGGGCTCCATAGAGGCCCAGCGGCATCCAGACATCGTCTCTGTGGCCTTCAGTTCATGTTCATGCTTAAGTGTTGCTTCGTTCTCTGTCCGCGCTCAGTCGGGCTTTTAATGTCGCAATTAAATGCATGACTTTTTAAAAATTAGATGCTTGTCAAAATTTATTATTTATGATGCTCCAAAAGCTCTTGCTGTCTGCGTTTTGGAGACTTCAAAGTATTGCTCTACAACCCTCCGCTCCCTCCATTCACATTCTTGCATAGAGTCATCAGCTGTAATGAAAATCTCTGACTTAGTGAATGGGGCTCCGCTTGCATTTGTTCCCACATTAAAATGTGGATCAAGAGTGAACAAATTTGTGCGCAATGTGATGAAATTCTTAAGAATTTCAAATCTTAATATTGTCACAAACAAGCATTTCATGTATCAGAAATATTTACATATTTAATTTTGGAATTTTATAAGTTGTCTAATAGTATGTTTAGTATAGTTTGTAGATTCTTGTAAGTTGTAATGGTTTCATTTATATATAATAAATCTATATAGTTTTTGAAAATAATATGAAAATAATATATGT